GGGCTTGTCTTAGGATGATTGGCCGTGAGGGTTTTTTCCCGGAACCAATATTCAAATGTGTCCCTCTATAGCCAGGCTTGAATATAACATATAGCAAATGAACTGAGATAACAGACGGAGAATTCTTTATTCAAAAATGTCATCACACCCTTACCTTAATGCCCCCCTCATATTCAATACTAATCGGGCTTTTGAAGAAAAAAACTGAACTGAATAGTTTGCGCGGAACTTTACGAATACTTTTCTTTAGTTTCCTGTTTCCTTCAAATTCACTTTGAGAAGTCGCAATTATGAGATCAAAAACGTCGCGGTTGTCAACCTAGCATACTTTGCGGGTGTGACCAACAGCCTCAGACTGGGTATCATGGTAAATGCCAGCAGTCCGTGCGAGTCATTCCTTTTTTCTGTTGACAGTCAAATGACAAACAAATGCAATCTACATTCCTCTTGGTATTTTAGTTAAAATTAAAACAATCTCGGTAGTTAATGACGAGAGCGAGGCTATGATGCAATGAGATACAATATGCAGGAGTTGGTGGTTACCCCGGGTAACAACGCCGCAAAAGCAACCGCTGACAGCTGACGTGTGTGTCCCGGGGTCTTTTTGTTTCTACGCCCCAGGACCCTGGAGATCACTTGTGTTATTTATTATACGGGTATGCGAGGAATAACAATTGGTGAAAATCATGGTCCGCGAGGAAGACCAAATTCGTAAAAAAAACAACCCCTTCAGAAACAAATGTTCAAGAAACCCATCCCTTGGTACACACACACCAGATGAAATGCACATTGTTTCTCGTTGATCTTTGGATACCATTTGTTACACATTCAACATCAAAAATACAACGATAATTGCCTTATACCCAACATAACTATCATCATTTGGTTTCTATGTCAAAAAGAGACCTCTTGACTATTGAGAATTTGAAACATATTTTATAGACTCCTTGGGTATCTCGCATATCCACTGCTAAGCTTCTACTGGGGCTAGTAATGACAACTGCTGTGGAAGAGAAGTCTTGTCCTGAGAATTGCGCCCTCACTCGATGTTACCTGTTAGTTGTTTTAAAGACCGCAATTGAGGGCGTACCTACGGTGCGTGAATGTGCGAATGTGAGACTATGTAAATGTGAATCTTGACGTCAGTGCCCTCTAGGGATTCTGCCAAAATTTGTGGAAATGGGTTCAGCCAGCATCGACGATTTGTCAAATATGTTTTAGCGCCAAGTTTGACGGCATGTTTTTGATCTGTCATGTATGTTTGTCTTGATAACAATCTTTACTGAGAAAATTTAGTTTGCGTGTTTTCGAATTGTATTTCCAATTAGTGTACTTAATGTTAGATCCTAAAATGAGAAAGTTATACCAGTCTGTATATCCAGTTAGAAACAAGACTAAATCCAAAAAATGAAACATGTAATGGAACGTCGTTTGGAGCTGGCGATGTTCATTGTCGTGAGTTTAAAACATGTGATATTTGACGGTGATAATTTATTTATTTATTCAACAAAACTGGGAAAATTAAGTGGTAACAAAATAATAATAATGACTTTATTTAAATCATACCCTGTTTAGGATCTAGATTTTTAAAATACAGTAAAGTTTCAAATACATTCAAAATGACAAGAAATAATACAAATAGAGAAAAAATGACAAGAAATAATACAAATAGAGAAAAAATGACAAGAAATAATACAAATAGAGAAAAAATGAAAGCACGATAAAATAAATAGAAAAGAACAAGTTCTATTTAAAGCAGCTGGTATTTTTTGTTTTTGAGTGTCACTGAAAGATATATTTTGTAAAATGAATTAATGATTGTTTATCTTTTGTTTATCTGTGATTGTTGTAATGACCTTTTTGGCATGGAGGAACTTGTTTTTTAAATCAGCATAGAGAGGACATTTTAATAGAAAATGGCTTCCATCTTCTATTTTTTCCCTGACTGCAGAGACATTTTCTTTCTTCTACTGTTTGTTTGATATATCTTCCTGCCTCAATCTGCAATGTGTTCGCACTGATCCTTAGCTTAGTTAGAGCAGATCTGTGCGATGGGTTTTTACATTTTCCATTCATTTTTCAAAATCAAAATTATGTTGTATCATTCTATAAGTTTGTTTAGATTTCTACCTTTGTTCTCGTTATATAATGTCTCTTTTAAAATGATTTTTGAACATAAATTTTAGATTGCTGTCAAGGGATGTAATAATTGTCTGTTTTTTATCCGCTGTAACAGTATCGAACATATGGTCCATGTTTGTAATATTAAATATGTTTTTAGCGTTGGGTACCCATTTTTTTTTTTATTCCCTTTGAGTCCATAATTTTACCTAGTCTGAAGTCCTCATAGATTAAAGTGTTACATGGTTTCTCAGAAATTCTGAGCCATGATTTGATTGTCTGTACAATGCTTAAGGACGCAAGAGGATACCTTTTTAATTCCAGAAGGATGGATATATTTGATGCTTTACAGTTAACTTTTAGCAGAAATTTGCAAAATTTAATGTGTAATTTTTCTATTGGCAAATTGGCAAGTTGAACAGAATTTGCACATTAATATTTTCATTTGACCATATTTCAAAGCAGTACAGCAACACTGGTTTAATTACAGTGTAAAACATTTTGTGATACATTTAATTGGGATGTTTGTTTCAGAAAATAATTTTTAAATAAATTGTCTGAACTTGAAAAATGAAGGGGGTATGATATCGAAAACAAGTTTGTCTCTGTCATTCCCCTTATATGTTCAGGGCCACTGCATGTAGAGAGCAAGAGGCTAAGTAGCTACATTAACGCGGCGTTAGATATGATGTCACGGGGTGTACCATGGGTTTCTTAATAAAACTAATGAAGAATAATGATAGCCGTTTATGGATAAATAATACTGGATTAATAGTAGCAGAGACCTGCAAATATAAACTATTTATATGAAATCAAAAAGTTAATGAAAACCAACGTGGTACACGTGTCAAAAAGTCATTTAGGTTGAAGAGCGGTGGTCGTCGCGCCGCGCTTGTGTGACACATGTGTTAGTAAACACTAATTGCCGTCGATGTCTCCTTCAATACCTTCCAATCACCAAATTATCTAGTTAAAGCTTGGTAACAATAGTCAAAGATGCCATCTTTGTTCATAAGAAACTCACATCTCGCGCCTGCGTGGCGCTACGACCACCGCCCTTTAAAGAGATCTGCATGTAATATTGTCATATTGTACAGATATGCCGCAGTGCAGATCCAAAATAGTTTATATTCACATTATGTGTTCTTCTTGGAAATTAATCTAATAGTGAAACACGTCAGTGAAATTACAACCTAACAAGAAATGTTAGGGGGGGGGTACATAGACTCGTCACATGCCATGGCATGGAATCCGTGACCAATCGAAAATTATAAGAGTTGGGGATCATAACATGGTATTTGATCATCGTAATACTACTAATCATACTAATCCGGGTTATGCACATGGATTGTTTGAATTGGTCCGAGTAAATGCTATAAAAATAATGTTGTTACCTGGGTATGAAAAACAACAATTGGTCTTATGACAGACGTTTCTGACAACGCTCATTCGTCAGTGTAATATCTAAACGATAAAACCGCCAAACAATCTCTTTATTGTGTCTTATTTAGGAGTATTTCTAAGGTTTTGCTCATCTATGTGGTCCCACCTAGTACGTACATGCAACCAAATAGAAAAATTTTTTATTACTCTTGTCATTCAAAGAAGAGTTCCTTGATCTCACATATATTTTTAACAATTAGAAAAACAATTCATTAACATAATTATGTATTTACCCAATTGTACGACCGTACACACATGTACTATATATATAGTTTATCAATTTCATTCGACATAGAATCTTCTAAATCTTCATACTTTTTTTTAAAGAATTATTATGGAATAATCTCCTGTCATTACTACGGAATAAGTCTTCAACCTTAAATAATTTCAAACATAATATTCTTCAAATTATAATGCGAATAACATTTGTACTTGGACATCTGTTTGTAATAATTTCTATGTTTTGTCGTTGCACTTCTTACCGCAGTGGCTACATTTTGGACATGTCTTGTACATACAATGTATTTATCGTCATGCATAGTGTTTATAGCTGTAATTTAATTTATTTATTTGGATGTCCGGCTGGTATAGGTGCTCGTCACCCGTTTCAGTGGCGGCGTTACCGGGAGGGGGGGGGGGGTCCCACTAAATAAATCCACGACCACTTACGCCTACGTAAGATAGTGAGCAGATATCGCCCCATGCAAAGTTTCGAGCCGCTGCCTCGCTGCCCGCTGATTTTGTTTTTTTTACATTCTTGAAGCCTAATAAAATTAAACAATGTATTTCTATAATGTCACGACTAGCAATAGTAAGCTCATTACTCAATTAAACTGAAGTTCTTCATCGTTATCCAATCCATTTTCGAGTTCAATTGTAATAAAATGTTATTCTATTCTATTTCCTGTTGGTTAACATATTATAACTTATTCGTACTACCATCTTGCCCGAACTCCTAAAATAAAGCTAATTCGTAGAGGGCGCGCGAACCGGACACGACGTGCTTTCTGGGAAATCTGACCTCATCACTATTGCGCATGTGTGATAACTTTATTCAAATTTTCCAACGAAATTTTCTTTTGACTGAAATTGAACCGATTCATATTGGATTCTCTCTACCCTGGGCATAATTTTTTCCACAGTGTGAGCGATACTGTTTATATTTTATCCTGTTGATGCACTAAGACAGTCAGAAGACCTGGAAAATGTCTTTCGCCAGCCTAAAAGTCGGACTGAGCGTCGACATTCAGCGGACCGACGGTAAAGTTCGAAAAAATATGGCAACTTGCTTGTTTTCTTGTGTATGTTCACCGCCGGCTTTTAAAAATACACTGTTGTTTTTCGCTCTAGTGTTTCCATCCAAGAAAACAAAATAGCAGGACATCATGTTGAATACACTTATCTGGCGCTTTATTGTGTTTTTCTTTTTAGACTATCAAAATACACTCGTTGACCTTACGTGACTGAGTCACGCCGGATATAAACGGTGACATAGTCCGAAACATGATCGTTGTTTTCGGTGCTTTAGGAGCCAAAATGTCGTCGACTAAAGAAAACAACTACCTGTTTGCCGCCATGGTAACGCGTAAATATTACTATAATATCTAACTGCAATATAATGTTTCGATGCACAATCAACGAAATGAATTCAATTAGTCACTGTGAATCACCAATACCGGTCAAAGGTGTGAACATCTGTATTGTTTTCTAATAGTCACGATAAAAATTTAGCTGATCTTTTTGACGGGAAACGTTGCATTTGAGTAACTGACTCAGTTGCTACTAATATTGTCATATTTTCACCACGCCACGGTGACGTAATGTTGGAAATTAGATTTATTTCTTGTGGGGGGGGGGGGGGTCTGTACATGGTACTAGTAGCTTGAAATACGCCCCTTGTTTTTGTTGTAATGTGCAACTCCATGTCAAGTACACAAACAGTGCCACACATGATTACATTGATGTACACTGAAGCAGGCACCTGATCACAACTGACTGTACATTCTCTTTGAATGGCTACATACATTTGCATGAATTTCTTGAAAGTTAATTCAATTTTCGACACAGTAAATAAAAAAGAAATATAAGTTCTATTTCAGTCAGTCAGAATAATTGTCTACATCACCTAATCACAAACTGTAAAATCATTTCAACAACTATCAGATTTCCAAAACCTGGTACTCAAATTTCACCTACACATTTTTAAACTAAACTACACCCCTTTATCCCTACACATATGGTAAGATCAGCTAAAATCTCTAGTCCAGTTTCATAAGAATGCTGCATTCTATGTTAATCCACATACGTAAATCAGATAAAATGATTGTGTGCTCAGTTTATGCTTATCAACATTTCATAGAAAATGTCTAAGCTGTCTAGACAGCTTTCAACACATTTGGGGCTTGCCTGTTTACATGTCTGTTTATATTTTTTATTGGAGGCCATTGTCATGTAGGGGGCGGGGATAAAATGCAATGTAGTGTAACTTGCACCAAGTTAATTGATTTATGTGTTGGTCAAATCATCAGATTATGCAGTATCATCAGTTTGTGGTTGCTTTATTTTTCTGGAATCAAACCATGGTAAAATTACATCAAGTTATCTTAACAGTCCTGTGTCTGTGACTTCTGAATTTGACTTGGACACACATGCTGACTTGAGTTTTTACTATGTTTTTCTCCATGAAATCTGTATGTAGTATTGACTTAAATATTTTACTTGTCTTACATGTGTTACGTGCACATCATGTAAAGTTCAGTATTTAGAACCCTGGCATCATACATGTACCTGTACCTGTATGTGGTCTTTTTATTGGTCTTTGTAATGTATTACCATATATGTTTAGTGATGAAAGATGGTTACATGAGGTGCCATGTTAATTATTAATTGTTCTCTTGGACATTCATTTTGTTAGGAAATGAGGGCTTGAATTTGGCCTTTGCATATAAATAATAGTATAGGGAAAGTCTGTATTTTTCTGCATTAAGGCAACTGGAAAATCCAATGAATTACATGCATTATATACGTGAGGATACAAACAATTGTGTTCAGGTGTAACAGAGATGTAATGTATTCACTTGCAAGTTGCACACTCCCCTGCCCCCTCTTTGTTTCATGTATACCACATTGCCTGCACAGTGAACTCTCCTGGGGTCATCGGTGTCAAGTTTTGCATAGTAAGCAGCAGGTGTCTGAAATTAAAACAAATATGTTAACTGACTGGGATCCTGTATAATTATACAAGCAGACTTGATAGTGTATCATAAAAATGGTTCATCATGCATTTAATTGCCTAAATAAAAAAGCTTTAACATTAACTGATTAAAGTTGCATTCTGAGATTATTTTATAAAGCATAATTGGGGCTCAGGGTTCTCCCCAGAAAAAATGCATAGCGCCGGGGCTAATTTGCATAATAATTTGCATATCATTTACATATCTTTCCTTCATTAACAGAACTTATTTACAATTATGAATATTAGTGAGCTCAGTCACAGGGCAAATATTTTTTTTAATGGAATCAACACATTATGTTTCACAATTTAGAAGAGTTTGAAACATTCTCGAAATACAAATGCTGCAGACTAAAAACAAACACAAATACATTATTGTTGCAATTTAATTGTTTTGTAAAACGTTGAAGGAAACGCATTCAAAACGTTAAGCCAGACTTATGTTCACGAATCTCATAATTTTATTCACTCCAAAAACATTCTCCTTCAAAAAATCGATCACGTAATTAATTGACGTATTGTTGTAATTTATTATTCGTACCATCAACTTCTAAAACGTTTACATTACAGTAATGAGCGAACAAATAAAGCTTCAAAACGATCATCAAAGTTACGAC